GTCACAGTACCAGCTGGTCACACCACCACCATCAGCACTGTGGCAGCCAGTACTACTCCTTATACTTGCAGCTGTCAGAGCTGCCCTGCTGTGCCTCTGGGAAATAACTGATTCAAATACCAGTACTCCTTTTGTCAATCTAAAATAGAGGGGAGAACTTGTCTTTGTTGAGATCCCTGTATCTTTGAACCAAACTCAAGAAAACAGAAGCTATACCCATAATGCTGTCTTGGAATGCTTACCCCCTACTTTCTTTGAAAATTCTTGAATGACATAGTTTTTACACATCTTCATTCCTTCACAGTCCTGGACACACTCAGAATGAAGGGGGGGGGGTTGTATTGTTCTTAAAGCAGAGAACTATTCCTATATCAGGAACCAGAGGAAGTTGAAAGTGATGACCTCTGAACCTTGATTTGAGAACTATATGTTGTGACCAAGTCATTCAAGAGCAGTGATGGTTTTGATTTTTCCTTTCTAACCTCTTATCTCCCAATAAAGAGCAACTGGGGGAAAAACATTGCCAGCTGAAGTTTTATGAAATGGAAAGGCAATCTCAAGTCATTTGAGAACATGCTTCCTTTTGCAGAAGCTGTCTTTATTCATAATGAATATTCTGGGAGGAGGGGATGGACAAGAAGAAAACTGCCTTAGCGTGTGTGATCTGAAGAAAATATTAGAAACACAAGTGAAACAGAAGAAAAGAGCAATATGTTGACAGGGGGTTTAGAATGCCAATTTGTATCAGTTATTACCTGCATAACTTGAATGATTTCCAAAGGTATCTGAGCAGTTTGAACAGTGTTCCGCAGCATATAGAGTAGTTTACAGAAAAATACTGGAATCATTTTAAAATATAAGGCCTAACAAAGCCTCCCCTAAAGTAATTATACTGCACCAAAGTATTGCACGTATTAAAAATGTACTATTATATGTGCTCATGAAATCTGGTTAATTACTTTCTGGGGCCTAGTAGATTTGCAGTGGTTGCTTCTCAAGTTTACACTGTAAGATGTCCCCAGTCTCCTCTTCACCATGCTGGACTGCTTTGAAATAAAAATGAAAAACTTAAATGCGAGGACTACTGCCAAATCCCATTTTGGACAGTTGTTTTGAGCTAAATTCTGTACTTGGATGCACACATGTGGGACTCCCTCTACAACTGTGGTATCAGCTTGCGTGGAACCAAAGGCAACACAGAGCATAAGGCTGGAAAGGACTTACTAGATCACCCAGTTTGGTCCTGTGCTATTTCAGACAAATGTTATTGTGCATTGACATTCATAAACTGATGTTCACGCTTCACCTTAGAAGTAGAATTTTTTTTTCTGGTTTCTTGCCTACTCTTGTTTGATTGTCCGACATTTGTTAGAAATCTCATTTATTCATAGCCAGTTTATGCCCATTTGCTCTTGTGCTAATATTGTTCCTTAGTTAAAAAGTTTTTTCCACCCCTGGTGCTTAACTCCTGATGTATTTAAGGAAAACAATCTCAACTGTCCTTTGTTTCACTCAGTCAAACAAGCCAAGCTCCCCTTCTCCCTCTCATAAGGCGAGGTCTCCATTCCTCTGATCAGTTTAGAAGCTATTCTTTTAAAGCATTCTAGGTTGATTTCATTTCCTTTGAGCATGGGTAACCAGAACTATACTCAATACTGAAGACTCTATGAAATCCTGATGAACTCACACAATGACACTTATACTTCATTCTCTTCTAATACATATTAGATTCACATTTTCCTTTTCCACAGCAGCTGTACATGGCTGGCTCATAGCTATGCTATGATCAACTACTGTATTCAAAGACCTTCTCCTCACTCACTTGCAACTGATAAGTGCCCATCATTTGGAAATGTGCAATGGCTCAACAGTTTCCAAAGGAAGCTTACCTATAATAATTATGAGCATGGGAAGGAGCTTTTAACTGCCTTCCAAAGAAAGAAAAGGTAATGGCACCAGGCATAAGATAACACTTTCTGGTTTAACTACTTGTTGAAGACAGAGATCTCTTTAAAATGAATATGTAAATAGACCATTTCTTCCACTTAGAATATCAGGCATATGATTCTCTCTCTTGATTTTTATTAGGAGACTAAACAAAATATCAGGGCAATAAATAACTGTGACTTAAAAGAATCACAAGGGAATTTAGCTGGAATTCCTTGGCCTGTCTGAGGTTACATGTATTTCTGTGGGTAGGGGAAGCATAAGCCGAGAACGGCAAATCCCTTCTTATATTTTAACCTACATTTGATCAGTACATCTCTCTATATAGGAATCGCTGAACCTTGTAAAATTTAAGTAAAGCACAACACCCTCTGTATTAGAGGTATTTATTTGGTGATACTTTTCTCAATAAAATGCAGTGATCAGAAGAAAAGATTAGTATTATTAACGACAACTAACATGATTGACCGTGCTTAAAAAAATTATGTAGCCTCTCATTTTCTAGAGCCTTTGTTATTAAGGTGCCTTCCCCTCTTAAGATTCCATTATGATTCCCAATGAGATACAGCATCAAAGCAGATTGAGTTCATTACCTAAAATATCAACATAATCGGACAACATTAAGTAAACATGTAGAAGATATTTGTCTTTTCACTTGGTCTGAATAGACAACATCAAATGAAGGAAAAGATATTTTACAACTGGCAGGGCAAAGTCAAAACACAATTCTGTCTACACTACTGCCAACAAATCTTCATTTGTTTTTGATCTGATTTTAAGATGTTGTAAATGTCTGGATTGCTAGAAAAAAATAGTGATACATTTTACCAGTTCCTGTGTGGATATGGACTGAGAGGGCAGAGCCTCTTTCATAAATGAAATTTTGGAGTAATGGTTTAGCTGATAAGAGACTGGAAGAAGAATGCAATGCAATATTTGTCTAAGTCTATCCCAGTCATGTAGCTGGTCCAATAAAAGATTATCACCCACACCAATCCTTGCTTCTTCCATAGATGAACTCATTTGTAAATCTGCAGCTTCTATAGCCTAGTGGAAAGCATGTGTAGTATGTTGAGACCTCTTCCTGTTTTCCAATGTTATTTGTCCCTCTTTTTGAAGTTGGGATTAACTTATAACGGACTAAAATGGTAATGTACTAAAGTAGTAATTGTAGGATATGCACCAATCAGCAAAGCCTTTCACTTAAGCACTTTACAAGTATTTTGGTAAACTCTAGGATGGAGGGATATTTTCCAGCACCTATAGAAGTAAACAGATTTTCATTGACTTTGGCTGGAGTTGGATTAAGCCTAAGATGGAAAGTGAGTGCTGAAAATTGTTGGTTCATTAAAAGAGCCAAAGCCAGGGCTGAAAAATTATTCCCTGTACTCTTATATATACACCTCATGACCTTCTTGTGGCATAGAAAGAGAAACTAAGGACCTCATGGTAAGCACATGCTGTTTCTGAAATGAGATTCCCCATTAACACAAAATGGGATAACAAACTGTTTCCATTAATTTATTGTATTGTCCTGTGATAATGAAAACTTAATGTTTAGATGGGAAAACAAAAGCACATAGCAAATGAAGATCAGATCTTGAATTGCGTGCGTGATTTCTCTAAATCAAGGCTGTCCAACTTTTAAGCAGCCAGAGGCTGCATCAATGGGGACCACATGTTGCAAGTGCTTCCTCCCTCCCCGGCACCTTGCATGCAAGCAGCTGGGTGCCTCTCTATTTCTGAGGAGCGGACAGATCCCTGCTTCACCCTCAGCTGTCCATCCATGGATTTCCCTACTTCACCATGACACACAGGTGCTCTGGGATGGAAGCTCCCCCAGCACCACAGGCTGCATTTCATTGCCCTGCCCTACTGCCTGGGACAGGGGCATACAGTAGAAGCTGGAAGAAGGACAGGGAGCCCCAAGATCCCACTTGCTGCTGCAGCCAAACCAATGAGGGAAGGAACAGCTAGGTGGAAGCCTCAAGGCCACATGTTGCAAACTTGCAAACTTCATGAAGCCTATGGGGCTGCCAGTTAGACAACCCTGCTTTAAAAACTTTTCACAGAAGATACAGATAGAATAGACTGTATGCAGCTTGTTAGGCAATATATGAAACCTTATTTTAAGAAACCCCTATGGGACTGGGAGAAAGGTTAATCAAAAGAGGGTGTTTACTATTATATGGTTCAGGTCCTGCTGCTGGAAAGTTTGTTCTAAAAAGAGAGTGTTTGTTATAAACAAGGCACATTATAATGAAGTTTTACTGTGTGGCCCCTCTATGTTCAGCTATTGTGGTCATAAGAAACTACTTCTTGTAAAAGGAAGAGAAACATTGAATCCAAGAACAGCTTAATTATGCTGGATTTTATATGTGCAGCTATTTTGCTTATTGGCCTATCAGATTTTAGCTGACAAACATATTCATACAGCTCATTTCACAATTAATAAACGCTCTCCAATTTAAGCAAAATTGTTTTGTAGAAAGGATGAGAGATTTGAAAGGAGATATATTTGGGTTTGAAAAAGCTTCTTTCTGTTTATGACTTGATCTGGAAGCCACAAAGGCAATGGAAAGACTCCCATTGGCTGTAATGGGCTTTGGCTCCAGCTTATACTGAATCCTTGTGTTTTCTTTAAATGGGAAAGGAACAGGAAAACTCGTACAAGTATTTGGAACAATGTTAAAATATAAGTGGAACACAAACACTTCACTGAAAAAGAGTCATGATGCTTTCGAAAAGGAACTGTTTTTTGTTTTTCATAAAAGATATCTCCCAAAGCAGGCACCTCAAGCCAAAAGAGAAGGCTAAATATATGCAGTAGGGAAGTGTTTTTCATTTATTTTTTTCATTTACAAGGGCCTTTACAAGAAAACAAAGCCCACCAAACTTGTCATTCTATTTTTATTAAACAGAGTCCCCCCAGCGTGCCTGAACTTTGCTGCATCCACTGTTTCCTGTTGGCAAAGTCAAGATCAGTATGAATACTGTCAGTATGCATAAAAACAGGATTCACGCTGCAGAAGCAATGTTTAGTCGACAGTTACCTCATTTATAATGATCCAGTGACAGTCAAAAGCAACCAAATTAGTTTCCACGACCTGAAACAGAGAACAAACCAGCTATCAGTCACCTTACTTATGAAAGCCTAAATAAATAAATAAATGGAGGCTTTTTGCAAATGACAAACAAAAACCAAACAGACCAAAGCACATGTTCTGAAAGACTCATTATTCAGCTGAGGCCACAGAACCTTTAGCAAAATGCTGCTGAAGCATTTATATTTTTGTTTGACTTGCTAATTAAACTCAGAAATATATTTCATTGAATGCATCAGAGAGAATAGGTTTCAGTTGACTGAGAAGAAAATGAAGGCATTTTTGCATTAACGCTTTATTTTGAGATGGAGCAAAAAAGATACAGAAAAGCAGAGAATCAACAGATTCAGACAGAACCCCAAGACACTTTAGATGGGTCAGTTTTCTGAAATCTTTAAGACATAATGCTTATTCACCTATCTTGGACATATAACTGAGCAAGAAATGGGGAGGTTCTTAGATTAATAATGTGATGTTTATATGAACAGAGAATAGGAAAGGGTAAAGTTGAACTGGATATATGTCACAGAGGAAGTTGTTTAATTATAATGAATTGATACTACTTTCTTTCCCCTCCTGTCAGTGGTTCCTGGTTTTTCCTCCCAATTCTACCCCTTGGTTCTTTGTTTCCTGTTTTTGACATGATCCCAGCAACTATGTAACAAATCCAATATGCCATCTATCACTCAGACATGATCTTGCCTATCTCAATTCTGGTGTGCTATTTTTTTCCACATTATGGATAACAGTTCTTTGCGTCAGAAGCAAAGAGGAAAATGAAGATGAGAGACTGGAGGGCTTCCGATGTTGCAAGATCAGGAGAAAGAGAGCTTCTGGTCCTGCTTTCCATAGAAAGGCTAGAAGTACGGAGATGTCTTTCGTGGGAGAAGGCTGAAAAGAATGACAGACATGGCTGAACACTTTCCCAGTAATTCTACTGGATTTAGTGGAAGTCACATTGACACTGGTATAGTCCCTCAAAATCAAAACAATCCAAGAGAAAAAAAAACCTAGTAAACCATGGATATTTGACTGCCTCAACATTAAATAAATGAATAAAAATTAAATAAATTAATAAATGAATAAAATAGCACAAAACCACAAATCTAGAACTGGGGAAATTAATCAGAGGAAAGAAGCCAAGGATAAGAATGCTGCTTTGTGAACACATAAAACAATAGTATGACATTTAAGTGAATGAAAGTCATAAGTGGCCTATTATTATTTGGACCAGTGCACAGTAATGTTATTTGGCTTTTAATGATAATTACCACAAATACTGGCAGCAAAGGATAATTGTAATTTATATTGCCAATGGAGAATGGCAATTTATTTGTCCAAAGGAGAAAGATGTAACTGGTTACTAAAACTAAAAACAGTGTAAAAGACCTAGTGTCAATTGTTTTCATTAATAATTCAGAGGTATTGAAATTGGGGACATTGCGGTTTAAGAGGCTCTGTATGCAAATAGACCTTATAGTAAGCATTTCCCACTACTGAAATGAAAATCTGGGAAAAAGAATAGCTATAATTCTTATGAATCTCTGAGTAAAAATGTAAACATTTGTAGTAGATTCCTGAGTCCTGATCCAGTGCTGAAGTGAGATTTATGTTCTCCATGTTAAGATAGCATATAGCATATTTTGTCATGTTACTTAGACATTTTGTTGCATTCTACACATTAACTTTTTTATGGCATAAAGGGACATAATAAAATTGAACAATGAAGAAATATGAAGCAACACAATCTAAACTGCCTGGAAACTAAAACTCGTGTCATTTTTGGGCAGGTACCTTGTATCAAATCAGATGGAAGACCACCAATTCTAAGAAAAAAGTGAAGCTAGAAATGGGGAGAATAGTAATGTTTCCAGTGCCTGAAAACAAACATCATCCCTCCATATAACATTTCTGGTGTTGTCATGCTGTAGGAAGTTACATTTAAACTAAATTAAGGGGAGCAGGGATACAAAATATGTTTTTTCTAAAATTTCCATTTCATCAAATTTAAACTTTGTACCAATGAGTCATGTTGATATACATGAAATTCTCCTAGTTTCCAACTGAACCCAATCTCACCTGCTTGTTTTCTTGCCAGTTTCCCTGCCCAGTTTCTCAGCAGCCCACCTAGCAAGGGGCTAGGAAAACCCAACTGTTTGTGGTCTTAAGAGCTTCTCTCAGGCATTTTGCCAGGCAGCCTGCCTAGGATCCATCGCTCTCTGGAGAATTTGCCCTCAGTGTCCAGTTCCGTTTCATGGATAATTTCTGTTACTATGCATTCCAAATCAGAATGAAACTGTAATCCTAAATCTCCAAATCCTCTACAAAATCAATATATCGTATTTACTTGAATACAAATTGAGGTTTTTTAACCACTCAGGATGGGGTGAAAAGCCCCTCACCTTATATTTGCATACAAGGAAACGTCATGAAAAACCCTGTCTGGCATTAAACTTCTGCCAAAAGCAGCATGTTCTCAGCAATAGAAACCAACTATAAAGCTGATTAAATGCAGCCATCACTGTGCATGGCTATAAAATGCATGGCCCATATTGGGTAAATATGCTGATAGGAATCTACCAAAGGGTAGATTAGTGCAGCCCATTTGAATATGATACATGGTAGTGCCAATTAAGCATATTCTCCCTCAGCGCTGATGCTTTCAATTCATTGTAAGCAACTACATTAAATACATTTTATTTCCTCTTCACTCCCCCAGATGAACTGTGCCTTTCTTTGCCATTTTCAATAAGACCTGCTTCTTCACCAGGGTCCCAAAGAGTTCATCCAGCATCCCTCTGTCTCCCTCCTTCTCAGCCTGTTGCATATGATTAGTGTGCCCCACCCCCCTCCATGAGGTGAACCCAGACCAGGTTGCCCTGTACCTCATCTGCATATAAATTTTTGGAGCATCCCCGGACTTATGGTTCCAGTCATGAGTGGGGGGCTAATTAGCACAAGGATCCTTTGTGGGAGGAGAAATATCTGGAGTATCATACATATACTGAGGAGTGCTCAGCTGGGGGGTCGCCATGGCTTGAAATCCTGTTAACGCTAGTGGGGCCCAGCTCAGTGGACCATAGGGTGAATAATGAGCCTTTTTGTGTTGGACTAATATCATGCATAGTTTGTACTACACACAAGCAGCTGCCGGAGTGTGCTGCTTAAAAGGTGCTTATGGAATACCTGTGTTAAAACTTGTGGCATTTTCAAAAGATGTAGCATGCACCAATTCTGAATGAACTAAGTCTATGGGTAGGCTATGCAAGTTACTACAGGTATGTTTAATTTCAAGGTCATTTTGTTCAAATTTGTTCCTCATTTCTACATAAAACACTGGAACAGGCTACCCAGAGGGGCTGTGGACCCCCTGTTCTTGGTGGTTTTTAAGACCTGGCTAGACAAAGCCTTGCTGGGATGATCTAGTTCGGGATGGTCTTGCTTTGAGCAGGGGGATTAGATGACCCTCCTGAGATCCCTTCCAACCCTAATTTTATGTGATTCCACGTGCTCTGGGAGAGTAGGATCTGCAGTAAGAAGAGCGGAAGGAGCTGCAGGGAGGCAGAGGGCATGGTGGCTACTTGACCCCCACCAGATTTAAATTTTCTCAGATGTAACGAGGGGGGAGAATTTAAGGCAAATCTCCAACCATTAGATCCTATACCTGGAAAATTGTAACAAATTGATTAGTGATCCATATAGACAATCTAATTATTGCAGAGGTCATCTATATTTAAGTAAATATGGTACCATTCTTGCCTAGATTTAAGTAAAACATCAAAAAAACAGGAAGACTGAAGCTATGTCTAAAGCAACAAACATTCATATTTTGATCCAACTTATCTTCAATGTCAAATTTTGTTCTGCATTATTTTATGTATTATATACAACCATGGGCATACCTAGGATTTTGAAAAGGGGGTGCAGGTGCTGTTGTGCATCACCACAAATGCAATACAACAGATTTTTCTCTAGTTAAAACTTATCTAGAAGCATTATAACATTCTAGGGGTCTCAGGCTTTATTATTCAGTTTAAGATTGAAGTAAAAACAAATATAGCTTTATTGGCATGTACTTTAATGTGCTATAGCATATGTTATGTATTAAAAACCAGAACATACTAGGCAAGAAATAATCAAAAGATGTTTCATTAGTCTTGTAGTCACATTTTATATTAAATCCTCATCTCTTTCACATTCATAAAGCAACATTCATCCTTTTTTAACATCTTGACAGTGCATTCAATACTTCACTGAAAGTTATTTCCACAAGCAAATTAATGTTCACCTGAGTTAACAATTTCACACCTGGATTAATGTTTTAGCTAGAGTTCAAAATAGTGTGCAAGGCTGTGAAATAGGAGCTATCTTACCAGGACCTGCTAAGAGACAGCAGAATTGAAGAAGAAAATCTAATTTGATTAATGGAATATCAAGACTATTAAAAAAAAGAGAGAAGTCTTTAACACCCATAAAAAGAAGAGTTTAGAAGTAATCAGATAGACTACAATGAGACATAAAAATCAATTGACACCCTGCCTGCTTCTGCTACTGCCAGGCAGTTGGTTTTAAACTTTGGGTGGAGAAAGAAGCAAAAAGGGGGGAGGGATACAATTGCACCTGTTCATTCCCCTCCTGCTCCTTGGATTGGCCCCTGTATACAGCCAGATTTTGAATCCTCAGTTAACACATGTTCAGTAGGGTCAAGACTTTTGATTTTTTTTTTTTTTTTTTAATTATATACCTATACAAATAAAACATTTATTTAGGGACTTTGGTCCCTACAAGTTACCACAAATATCTATGCTTCATAGTTAGTCGTGTTCAATGAGTAATTCTGAATGTAACAGGGTGGGCAAAATGGCAGATCCGGCCAGCAGTTGGACTCTGTGTCCCAAAAGCCCCTGCCTGCATGGCTGGGGCCAATCTCCATAGAAGGAGCATGGCAGGGGAGAGCAGGGGGCTGCTCCAGAGCTTCTGGGATCTTGTAGTGGGGGCAGCTT